CCCCAAAACCCCAAAACCCCAAAACCCCAAAACCCCAAAACCCCGAGCGAGGCATTATACGCTGAGAAGTGATAATTATATAATAAAAGCAAAGTTATGGCTATGAATCTTCATGTTTTCTTTTTAATTCTTTTAACCTTCAACTTGGTCCCTATCTCTAATTCTTTTTATTCTCTTCATACGAGGAGCCATCAAAAGCTTCTTCTCATCAGGAATCGTGTCAACCATTTCTGAAATAAGTTCTTTCTTTTTATTCAAGCTATCACCCTGTGTCATCATATCCTCTTCGATCTCGTTGAGATAATGTTGTTGAGGTCCGACCACAGATCCTGGCCTACAGATCCTAATCCATCCAATAAAGGCAGCAGCAGGAAATCCGTAGTGCTTCATGCAGTAAAGTCCAATAAGAGTCCCAGTTCTTCCAAGGCCACTCTTACAGTGGACTGCGATTCCTCCAGATGTATCTTCGGCTCTTTCTAAGAATTTGCTAATTACATCCTGGGGAGGGATAGATCAACTTACAAATGGTATATCAAGATGCTCGAATCCATTATCTGTAAAGATCGTCTCATCGTACTCTTTCTCACTTAATCTAACCACAAGATCAATTCCAAATTTTTTGAATATGGGGTTATAGTCCTCTGGGGTATACTGTCTTTTACCGTCCTCATCATATTTGTTATTAGAAGGACTAGCGAATGCAAGAAACTTGCCAGGAATAATCCAATTCATATCTCCGTTTTCGACTTTCTCAAGTTTCTCATAAGTTTTTCTATCAAAAGTATCGTAGTTATACCATCCGAGTTGAATTCCGCAGTAGAGTCCTTCCAGGCAGTCCTTAATAGTGCATTTGTAAGTGGACTCGCCCATGATCGCATCTCTGAAGGGCTTGAAAGATATACCGCTTTCCTTGAAAACCTCCAAAGCTTTACCAGCGTTGTAGCCTAGGACGATGATCATGAATGCACCCATCAGGAAGGCAGCATTTGCTTGCTTCTCCTTATCTGTTGAGGTATAATGGTAAATCTTATGCTTTTTGTATTCTTTATTAATCATTACTTTTTCAACTCCCTGCAAAACTTATGCATCATGGCCATGCTCAATGGTCCAAAGTCTTCTCAGAAAGGTATTATCCATCAGTGCATCGTCAATACAGAAATAATAGGCAGATCTGCTACTTCTGGGTGGATTCTTACTGGAGATCCAGTATAGCTTGTTAGGGATGATCTCAATCGGGACACCTTTCTTCGTCTTCTTTTTGTCTTCCATGTATAATTTGATATAAATTAGGCTTAAATCCCTGGAAAGTTGAACAATGAGGAAATTGTGAAACATAGAAGGATTTCTAGCCTTTGTGAAGGATGGAAGGGAAGAAAAATAGAGTTTTAAAATCTGAGAATTGGTGTCAAAGAAACCAGGAGTTGGGAGAATGGGGTCTAGATGGGGTTTACTAAAGATTAGAGGTGGAAAATGGTATGAAGTTAAAAGAAATCAAGATAAAATTGATAATTCCATATTTACGCTATTTAAAGGGGTTTTGGGGTTTTGGGGTTTTGGGGTTTTGGGG